GGAAGAGAAGGAAGAAGCTCCTCCTCGACCACCGCCGGGCTTTTGTCGGACCACCACTGGAGGCCCTCAACTTCGCCGGACCACCGTCTGACGTCATTTCTCCTCTAGACCACCACTTGAGGCCCTGACCACTTCCAAACCACCGCTTGACGCCGTCGTTGCTCCGTCGGACCACCACTTGAGGCTCTCACCTCCGTCGAACCACCGCCTGACGTTGTTGCTCGATATGCTGGACCACCACTTATGGCCCTCACCTCTGATAGACCACCACTTGAGGCCCTCACCTCCGTCGGACCACCGCATAATGTCGTTGTTCCACTGGACCCCGTTTGACGTCGTTGCTCTGTCTGACCTCCACTTGAGGCCCTTACCTCTGCCGGACCACCGCCTGACGTTGTTGCTCAGACAGACCACCTCTTGCGGCCCGGACTTCTGCCGGGCCACCACTTGATGCTGAGAGTTCTCCCCAAGTACCTCCCTTATACTACGGTCTTTCAGACCCCTGTCTCATACCGACTATGGTCCTTCATACATCCATCGCCTACTATGGTCGTTCCGACCTCCATCACCAGACAACGGTCTTTCTGACCCCAGTCTCCTACCGACTACGGTCCTTCCGACCTTCATCGCCTACTATGATCCTTCAGACCTCCATCACAAGACAATGGTCTTTCAGACCTAGTCTCCTGCCGACTATGGTCCTTCCGACCTCTATCGCCTACTATGATCATTTCGACCTCCATCACCAGATAACGGTCTTTCGGACCTATGTCTCCTACCGACTACAGTCCTTCCTACCTCCATTGCCTACTATGGTCCTTCGGACCTCCATCAATAGACAACGGTCTTTCTGATCTCGGTCTTCTGCCAACTATGGTCTTTCGAAACTCTGTCTCCTACCGACTACGGTCCTTCCGACCTCCATCACCAGACAACGGTCTTTCTGACCTCTATTCTATCGACTATGGTCATACCGACCAAACAAATACATCTATGTTGATTATTGTAATTCCCACCATGTAATACGCTCTATATGATGTACATTTGTGACATCAAGCCAATGCCTTCTCCTAAGGAAGGGCCTCATTTGTAATTGACTGCAAATGCTGGTGGATTCATTCAAACTAGGTCAGGCCCCATGGGTTTTCCCCTTTTTAAAGGGTTTCCTCATAAAAACTTTGGTCTCTTATGAACGTTACACTCTCTCTATTATCTGATGCTGTGATGGATCTTCGTACAATGCTAAGATGTTAAACTATATATTTCTCTATCGCCACGAATACTCCAGGATGCAACAAACATATTTAGCAAATTTTTTTAAACTATCAAACAAGCATGTTCATGAACAAATCTAATGAGTACTCTTGAGCTATCAAATGAGCAAGATCTAACGATGTAATATAATAAATTAGTAATTATAAGAAAATTAAAACTACAATATATATTATAATATTTACTTACTTTAAAATTTATTAATTAAAATAATTATATCATTATCTTATAATAAATTAAAATATTTATATTATATAGATTTATCAATTTTATAATTAAATATTGATCAAGTTTTTGTCGAGCTTATTAATGAGTTCAGAATTGAACACGAATCGAGCTTAATGTCGAGCATGTTCATGAGCTTCAAATGATGTTGTTCGTGAACATAAATGAACGGAACTCATTAGTGTTCAAGCTTGTTTATTTAAGGATCGAGTATTAAAAAATTGTTCAAGTTTGTTTGTTTAGTTAGTTAAATGATCACAAACGAGCTTTAATCGAACCGAGCAACGAGTAGCTCATTGAATGTTTTGTTTGCTTGCAACCCTCATCTTACCACCATCTTAAAGAAATTTTCCTTAAGTTTGAGGGGGACTTTTCTATCACACAACAAGCCTGTTGCATTTCTCCGCTTCAACCATCCAACTTGAATTTTGCTAATAATATCCCATCTATTTCACCATCACTCTGAACAATAGACCCAAGATGTCTAAAATATGTACTCTTATTAACGACTGGATCGCTCAGAGTCACAATCCCCTCGCTAGATCTATTACTACTAAAATTATACTCCATACATTTGGGTTGAGATCTACTCAAGCGAAACCTTTAGCCACTAAGGTTGACCTCCATAATTCAAGTTTATCTTCAACTCCTCTTATCTTATCTAAAAAAAGAATACCATCAGCAAAAAACATACACTAGGGTACAATCTCTTACAAAATGTCTAATGAAAACATCTATGACTAAAACAAAAAGATATGGGCTTAAGACTCATCCTTGATGTAATCCAATTGAAATAGGAAAAATACTTGGTCAAACCACCTTGTGTTTGAACACAAGTAACACCTCTTGCATACAAATCATTAATGAGTTGAATATAAGTATTATTTACCCCTGTATTTTCTAGAACTCTCAATAGCACTACTCTTGGAACTTTATCATATTCTTTCTCTAAATCAATAAATATCATATGTAGATCCTCCTTATTATCTCTACACTTCTCCATCGAACTTATCAATAAATGTATAGCTTCAATAGTAAACCCACCCGGCATGAATCCAAATTGATTTGAGAAACATCAATATCACATCATAACCCATGCTCTATAACTCTCACATAATTTTAAAGTATGACACATTAACTGAATTCATCTATAATTCACACAATTCTATGTATCACCTTTATTCTTAAAAATAGAAATCAACACACTCGTTCTCTACTCATATGATATATTTTTAGTTTTGAAAATAATATTAAAAGTTTAGCAAGCCAAAAAAATTCTTTTATCTTCTAAGCATTTCCACATCTCTATTAGAATATCATCAAGTCCAACAATTTTTTGACACTTCATTTTCCTTAAATTTCCTTTAACTTTAGATTTACTAATACACCTATAAAAACAAATATTTTAATCTTCATTTAGGATGTTAAAGTCACTCAAGTCAATCATATTCTCCTAATCTTCATTGTAAAATTTAACAAAATATCTCATATACCTTTGTTGAATATCCTCTTATAATAAAAACACTTTTTGATCTTCATGTTTAATGAACTTCAATTGAATTAAATCCTTACTACCCCTATCTCTTTATTTGACTAACTTATACATGTATATTTGGTCATCTTTAGTATATAGTTTATTATAGAAGTCATTAAAGACTAAAAGTCTTTGCATCAAACATTACTTTCTTAGACTTCTTACGGATTTCTTTATATCTTTCTCAATTATCATAATTTTTACATTTGAACTAATTTTTATAACAAAGCTTCTTATTTTCGTGCACATTTTGATTCCACGATAAATTATTTTTATTATTATAAGTTTTTTTATTTGATACTCCAAACACATCATTTACAACATTCTTAATATCACCAACTAATGTTTCTCACATAACATTAATTTTTTCATGCATAAACAAAATCTTAAGATCTAGACTTACTCTCAAAAATATTTTTGTCTAATTCTAGAATAATAGTTTACTTATTTTTTATATTCTATCAATTCAACTTAAAATTCAAAACTAATAAACGATGACAAGTCCCAATTCCTGAATGAGGAAAGTGGAGGATTACGCTAGTTAGTTGACAATAGTATAAAACTTTTTGAATAATCATGACATTTTTGTTCGAAAATAAAAAGTAAATTATTTATTAACACATTTTTTAGTATTTCAAAATATTTATAGAAAATTTATTAAAATTTTAAATTCTTTAAAATATTATGTTTAATTAATAAATTTAAAATTTTAGTTATTTAATAATTTATAATTTACTTTTAAAATAATTTTTAATTATAATACCAATAATTATATATATATATATATATAATTTCAGAATATTTAAAGTGACATAAATAAAAATTTTATATTATGGGCCGGCCGGCCGTTGGGATGGACAATCAATGGGCGACTTGGGATGACTAGTCTCCCACTAGCCTGTTGAACCTATGATTAGCTCTTTTTTATTAAATAATGAACTCCTAAGCCCTTTTTAAAAAATTGCCCAATGTTAACCTATAATCATAAAGACGAGGCTAAAGACTTACCGAGGGAACAAAATAAACGTGAGATGTGATGTGAGAGCGGGGGTCGGGGGACGGGAGCGCTAGCCGCAAGGTTGTTTAATACGCATGCATGCCCTATAGTCAAGCCTGGAGATTTGGTTGATCGAGCTACTCGGGCACAAATTAACCAACTCTGTCTACGCTGAACAGCAACGAGAGCGTCTGGTCCTTGATCTCCCCGATGCAGACAATTGCTCACAGAAATTGCAACCGATGTCTTTGTTGGTGGAGACCATCGACCATGGCGATCGAAGGCCAGCACTAGTCCCTGCAGACAGACCGGTGTGCTCCCATGCTCTTCACATCCGTTTCTTCCCCCTTTTCCTCTTTTACCTCTTTGATCTGATCTGATCTGTCCCATCTTGGTTCATGCCCGGAGCCTAGCCTCCCGACTTTGACCCGTGTAACATTTGCTCGTTCGTTCCTTTACTCTAACCTCCCTCTTTCTCCCCCCCCTCTCTCTATCTCTCACAACAAGAGAGTTCAAGCTCGGAGAGAGAAGGAGAGCATTGATAAAACTTGCTTTGGAGTGTTTGCGTTATTGTAGGAAAGTTATTTGCAGATCTTCTCTTTGTATCCATTTTATTATCTTAATTTGCACGGGCTCGCCGCCTGCTTGATCCATCTGGATTTGATCATAGATTGGTATCTCATCGCGCAAACTTTAGGGATATCGTACGCTGGCTGCAGTAAACGTGATGGCGCTGTGCTTTCCCCATCTGTTGGAAGGCGAACAATTTTTATGATTAATTTGGCAGAGGGAAGCGCTGGAATTCTATCCAACTATTGCTTGTGTTCGTTTATATTAGATGAGTTTGGAGGCCAACATACTTTAAACATTAAAATTTAGCTGACATTATCGGAAACACCTAGCACTTTTGCCTCCTTTTTATGTTCACTTTAGCTTATCAATCAGGAGTTCTCATTTTCTTTTGTCAAGCAGCATCTTCTTCTGCATGATGATCCGGAGAATGGCACCGGCAACTTTAGTGTAGAATTGTTGTTGCCAAGCTCCCAGGCTTTACGTCTTATGATCTGACGAAGAGTGCAGGCAATTTTTGGCGCACAATTTATGATGACGAGCTCCAGCTTGGGTGACCTATTCATTTGGCTTAGGTTCAAAGATATGCATAGTCAATTACATGGTTTAGGTTCAACATCAAAAAGCATTATTTAGAAATAATTTTTTTCTTTCTTTCATTATTATGATTTGATGTGGTAAACAATACGCAATCGCATTATCACTACCAACTGCTTCCTCTCTACTGTTCTTTTCATTTTACACAGGCATGTTTGGTTTCGTAAGGTACAGAAGACTTGTATTCTTTGTGGAGAGCGTGATGGCATATAAGCATGGATAGAACTCCTAGATGGAATATAGACAGGAAAATTAAGGATGATTATCATTTCTTGGTGTGAATTAAGAAAAACAGTGTGAACTGCGTATATTTCGAAGAAAGTTAACAAAGCTATAAGCCAACTGGAATCATTTGTCATTTTCTTGCTCTTTTAAGAGTGTAGGTCGGTCAAAAAAGTACAAGCTGCAACCATTCCAGTGAATTTGAAGGAGATACATATAAATGTTAGTTCTATTATTTGTATTATATAGTGTTGAGATTGAACCTATTTTCCTCAGCTTCGCTTTTGCTGAATGAAGGATGGTGTTCTATGCGTTATAAATGTGTTGCATGGTTATATGATGCAGACTTTTTTTCTTCTAAGAAATTCTGACTCTAATTAAATTTGAACACTTGAAATTTCCTTATGCCTTGTTGCAACTAACTATAAAATCCTTTCCTGATTATATTGTTAGGTAAAGTCTTATTCTGATACTAATTTCATATAATTTCTGCTGACATCTCTTCATGTGCTTGCATAATTTATAAATTATTTTCTTATTTATTGCCCATAGCTGTATGTTGGTAATTTCAGTTTTATCATGAAATAACAGTCTATAAAAGTTTATATATTGTTTGATCAAAGATTCAAAACACTTCCTTGTTAAGTTATCCCCTTCAGACTTGATTTGGCTCAACACACTTCTCGTTAGAAGGATAGAAAGTTCCTTAAGTGTAATTTTGATCAAACAGATACTGCCTGTCTAAGGAATAATATCAGTTCGGCCTCTTACTTTTTTCATTTTGCTAAACAATATCATATTATATTTTTAATTTGGAATATTTAATCCTGAAACTGGTTTGTATCAGGGTGATGTATCATATGCAAGCTCAATACTCTACAGCTACAGCCGTATAGGGTAAGCTATGTCTGTGCTCTCTCTTTCAGAAGTTCAGTCTGCTGGGGAACCTACCATTGGAACAAAGGCAGCGGAAAGCATTCTTGGGGAACCAAGCCTATTGCCTGAAGGCTTCTCAAGACAACAGAAAATGGAGAAATCTTCACATGCTATCCTTGATGTTGATGTTACTCCAATGGAAATTTGTTGTGCTCAACAAATACCTATATCTGAATTTGATCAGTTCAATGGAAGTCATTTTGGAAATGGGAGGTCACCGGGACTTGCTTCTGTTCCTTGCCCGACTTCATGTGAAAAAGCATTAGGAATTCATGTTATTGGTGATTTATTGCCAAAAATAGTACCTCCCCCATCTTTGCATGGAAACGGAGAACTAAGAAATGAGCAAGAAGGGAATGCTAGCATCCTGAAAGCTGATTTACCTAAGTTGGAAAGAGGTAATTTCTTGTCAAATGGTTTTTCAAATACGGAGAATTCTTTTCCGAAAGAAAAATTGTGCATAGATGGTATCAGACATCTCCAAAACAAAGAGTTGCGTTTCTTGTTTGATTCTAAGAATGGTAAAAGAGGTAGATGTGGGGGAGAAGGAAAACTACAATCAGAAAACAGTTTATTTGATTCTGGCAAGGATGAGATTATTCTGGAAGATGGCAAGGGAAATGAAATAAATAAAAGCAAAGGGATTGTGACTGCATTTTCTAATGATAGCTGCATTCTGAGTGATACTTCCAATTCTTATTCTGAAGATAATGGGCTTCAAATCGCATGTGGAGAAGATTTTGAAAAAGGCACTTTGACTGCAGAGGATAGAAATGGTAATATTTTGAAGATGGAAGAAAATGTTCACGAGAGTGGACACAAAAATTTAGGAAAAGTATACCTAGATGAACATCAAACTCTGCCACTTTGGATAAAGGTACAAACACAGATTCCTCTTCTTTGTTTATTTATTTATTATTATTAGTATTTTTTCTTGCATATCATAGTTGCCAATTCTTTCCAACCCCAAATGGTTGGTATAAGGCTATTGATGATTATGATGATGTTTTAAGTAGCATGTTGTTACTTTACTCATGAATGAATTGTTGCTGTTTGGTGTTTCATACTGATGTTGTATATTGTGAAAGCTTCGTGCTCAACTTAGTACAAAACCTGGGAAAATTACAATTATAAACAGTACCATTCTGATTTTTGTGCATAAACTTTGATAGCTGATTTTGTTCTCATGCCAAAATTATGTGTTGCTATCCATTTCAATGGAAATATCATGCTGATTTCCTTATAAAGCTTTAGCAGCAGATTTTGTTATCACGCCAAATTGTGCTGGTTTGTATTTCAATAAAAATAGGATGATTGCTAGCATCTTCAGTACATTGACAGAATGGTCTGTTTGGCTGGTTGATGTGATACCACATGCGAAGGAGCTTCTTAAGAAAATTAAAAGTGAGTGACAATGGAATTACAATTAAGAGCTTATTGAGATAACAAGTAAAATCATTAAAGGTTCTTAGTCGTTAACTTGCTTAGGCGAAGGAGTACAAGTAGATTAACCAAAAACTCATGGATAACCAAGGATAGTAGCAAAACCAAAAGCTATTAATCAACAATCCGTAATTTAATAACGAGAGTTTCACCTTGGGGATTGATCACTTAACTACACTAGGCTTAGCGGGAGAAGATCTTCAGCACACCAAACGATGCCATGAGGAAGGTTGCGACGCCGATGGTCTTGAGCCACGGAAAGGTCGACGGTGGTGGAGGAGACACGGACGGATAGCCGTTGACGGTCCACGAATAGTCCTCGAATTGCTCGTCGATGACGTCTACGAGCGTGGGGAGGATGCGATTCAAGTAGTCTTCGACGATGTCGTCGAAATCAAAGCCCACATCAAAGAACGGCGATTGGTGGATGTCGACTTGACCTCGATCGTCATGCACAAATCCAAAGTTCCATTCGGATTCTGCCATGCATGCTTGGCGTCGGAGAATCTTCCACACGAAGAGAGGAAGAACGTGGTGTTGAAAGAGAGTACTTGTCGTTTGATAGGATGGGAGAGGAGGGGAGAGGGCCGGCGGGAATCTCAAGGAGAGAGGGTGGGGGCCGGCGGGTGCAAGAGGGAGAGAGCTAGGGTGAGAGCAAATTAAGTTGGATGCTTCTCAAAATGGTTTACTAAAATCTGAAATTTAGTTTCAGGTTTTAGTAAATTTGGAGGGAAGTATTTGAAATAAATTTCAAATTTTGAATGTGATTAAGGGACTTAATGAGGGATTAATGAGGCCCATTAAGAGGGGAGGCCGGCGGCTTGTAGAGAGGGAGGGAGAGGTTTGAAAACTTAAAACTGAAATTTAATTTCAGTTTAAGTAATTTAGGAGGGAAAAACTTTGAAATCAAATTATGATTTCAAAACGGTCAAGACATTAAACAAGCAATTAATGAGGAAATTTCTCCATGGGGGCCGGCGGCATGCATAGAGGGAGAGAGGGGAATTCAAGGGAGAAAGGATTCCAATTTAGGATGATGATGTGGCAATAGGTTTCATAACTCCAATCTAAATTAAATTGAAATTGAATCCCATCATGAAAACGAATCATGGGATAGCCACGATATGGTGCAACCTAAGACAAGCCCAGAAGTGATACTCAGTTTAATTTTTCATTCAAATATTCATTAGCTATTACAAGAGAAAAGACCCATATATATAGGTCTCAAGCATACATGAATAAATAAAGACTAAATTGCCCTTAGGGCCCCAACATGACTCAACTCAACATAAGGGTACAATAGGAAAACATAAAAATAAAATGCATAAACAACTGGAAAAATAAGCTCTGAATCATGGCTATCGATTGGTGATGCTTCCGGCTATACACATGTTTGGACTTTGGATCGATGTCCTCATCACTGGTATTCTTGCATTTTTACAGTTATCAACATTAACTCTTGATTTAGTTTGACTTAAACTCTTTTTAGTAAAAAGATGAGTCAATAATTTGGGTTTTCTCACAATCTTATTGCCAACTTCAGATCGAACTGGACTCTTTGTATCTATTTGTGTATTTCAAATGGTTAGGTTACTCATATTGCAATATTATGTTCACCAAGTCAATATTCTATCTTTACAGTTAAAGATGTGAGGAGGACATTCGACCATGGAGAGTCTACTAGAGAAGGGGCCAATGATCTACGGCCACGATCGCACCGCTTTATTTTTGAGCTATCATTCGTATTAGATTTATTATTATATGTGTACTTGATTTATTTTGGCAGTTTTTTATTTTTACGCTCACTTGAGGGAGTAGTTGGTTGTGACTCTTAGTTACACTTTTGTCTTTTGAATTTTCTATTATAAACTTGACTATTTATAACTCCTCTTCTTTGGAGAGGTTAATGATGAATATTATGAAAAATTTCTGCACTTGTATTTTGGTGAGTTTGAGAGCTCTTGTGACAGTTTAAAGTCTCTAGGTGAGGGCAACGTACTACCCACCAATCGTAGGAAGTGTCCGGATTCGTGGTCCACCTCCTCCACCCTCCTCCCTCTCAGCCCCCGGCCCAAAGCTCCTCCTCCTAGCCGCAGACCCACATGTACCCTTTCCCCTAACTGTCGACCATAAGCCCTCCCTCTTAAAAACCTTGTATTCAAAACCCTTCCTAAATTAACTACTTTTAACTTTGGAAATTATTTAAATTCAAATTCAATTGAATTTGAATATGAATTATATTTCCTAAATGAGGAACCCTATTTTAAATTCAAATAAAAACACTTTTTGATCTTCATCCTTTATGCACTTCACTTAAACTAAATATTTATTACTCCTATCTTTGTTTGACTAACTTATACATATATCTTTCATCATCCTTAGTATATAATCTATTATGTAATTTATTTAAAGCTAAAATATTTGCATCGTATATTGCTTTTTTAAACTCCTTACATGCCTTTTTATATCTTTTTGAATTATCATAGTTTTTATATCTAAACAAATTTTTATAACAAAGCTTTTTATTTTTTATCTTTTCTTGCACATTTTGATTCTATCACCAACTATTTTTATTTTATGAGCTTTTTCCTTTGATACTCCAAGAACATCCTTTGCATCATTCTTAACATCACTAGTTATTTTTTTCAACATAATATTAGCTTACGGACCTCTTTATATCTTTCACCCTCATCTAATCTTTAGAACATTTTAATTTATTTTTTATATTCAGCCTCTTAAGTCTAAAACTAATAATCGATGTTGAATATATAAATTTTTACTCATAATAACTTTACAATATTTGTAATCTAAACGATCTATTTTTCTTATAAGAAAATAATTAAAGTTTTACTATATCTATTTTTATAAGTGGGACGCTCACCTCGTTTCTCAAATAAAATATTAGCAATTATAAAATCATAAGCCATAGCAAAATTTAATATGGTATTATTATCTTCATTAGTTGTTCCAAACCTATAGCCACTATGAATGCTTTTAAGATCATCTATCTCTCTGCCAATAAGAAGATTTGTTATAAAAATTGGTTTAATCTTAAAAATTCTGATAATTGGGAATTATATAAAGTGGCTCGTAAGGATTCTAAGAAAGCAATATGTGATGCAAAGACATTAGCTTTTAGCGATTTATATAATAGATTAAATACTAAGGAGGGAGAAAGATATATGTATAAGTTAGCCAAACAAAGAGATAGGAGTAGTAAGGATTTAGTTCAAGTGAAGTGTATTAAGGATGAAGATCAAAAAATACTTTTCTTAGAAGATGATATTCAACCAAGGTGGATGAGATATTTTGCTAAACTTTTTAATGAAGAGTGTGAAAATAATATTGACTATAGTGACCTTAGCACCCTAAATGAAAGTAAAGTTTTCTGTTTTTATCGGCGTATTAGTAAAACTGAAGTTAGAGAGGCTTTAAATAGAATGAAGGGTGGAAAAGCTGTTGGACCTGATGATATTCCAATAGAGGTGTGGAAATGCTTAGGAGATGAAGGGATTTCTTGGCTTACTAAACTTTTTAATACTATTTTGAAGACTAAAAAGATGCCAGATGAGTGGAGAATGAGTGTATTAATTCCTATTTTTAAGAATAAAGGTGATGCACAGGATTGCACGAATTATAGAGGTATTAAGTTAATGTGTCATACTTTAAAATTATGGGAGCGAGTTATAGAGCATAGGTTGCGGCGTGATACTAATGTTTTTCAAAATCAATTTGGATTCATGCCGGGTAGGTCGACTATGGAAGCCATACATTTATTAAGAGGTTTGATGGAAAAATATAGAGGAAATAAGGAGGATCTACATATGATATTTATTGATTTAGAAAAAGCATATGATAAAGTTCCAAGAGAAGTGCTATGGAGAGTTCTTGATAAGAAAGGAGTCAATAATGCTTATATTCAAATCATTAAAGATATGTATGCAGGAGCTATTACTTGTGTTCAAACACAAGGTGGATTGACCAAGTATTTCCCTATTTCGGTTGGGTTACATCAAGGATCAGCCTTAAGCCCATATCTATTTGCTTTAGTCATGGATGTTCTCACTAGACATTTGCAAGATGATGTACCTTGGTGTATGCTTTTTGCTGATGATATTCTTCTTGTTGATAAGACTAGAGAGGGAGTTGAAGGTAAACTTGAATTATGGAGGTCAACCTTAGAGTCTAAAGGTTTTCGCTTGAGTAGATCTAAAACGGAATATATGGAGTGTAATTTTAGTAGTAATAGTCCTAGTGAGGGGATTGTGACTTTGGGCGATCAAGTCATTAATAAGAGTACACGTTTTAGATATCTTGGATCTATTGTTCAGAGTGATGGTGAAATAGATGGGGATATTATCAGCAGAATTCAAGTTGGATGGTTGAAGTGGCGGAATGCATCGGGCTTGTTATGTGATAGAAATGTACCCCTCA